GGGCGGGTGCTGGCCGCGTTCGCCCGCCGAGAGCCGCGGGGCGCGCAGCCTTCCTGATGTGTCACCAGCACGTGGAGTCAGGTCGGGTAGAGCGATCGAGTGGAACCCCCCAACTTTCGAGGGGTCTCACTGCCCCGCTTCTTTCCCCGCTGCTCTGGGCACATCCCCACTGGGGAGGGGGCGCCGACGGCTCCCAGGTCTTGGGCAGGTCGAGGGAAGCCACGGCCCCCAGCCTAGCTGGAACGTCGGGGCTTGACTACACCCTGGTGCCCGGCGGCGGCGCGGTCTTTGCTTGGCGGGAGGGTGCGGCGTGCGGCCTGCGGCAGAGGCGCCTGCGGCTCGGCCCGTGCCCAGCCGAGCTGAGCGCAGGTACAGAGGCGGCGGCGGAGCTGGGCCTCTCGCGCGGCGTGGGAGCGCGGCGAAGTTTCTCAGCGTGTAACTTGGGTGCTCCGAAGGGAACGCGGGTGGAGGAGGCTCGGTTCCCGCACTTCCCCCATCTCCGGCACAGTCCCGCGGCCTGCGCCGAAGCGGCGGGGTGGCCTGCAATCTCCAGCGTCGTGTAACCCTTCGAGGTCCGGTTTCCGAGACCGCGGGCTGGGGTCGGTCGGGTGGGGCAGGTGACTTCGCTGGGCGATGCCGCTGGGGAAAACCCGGAGCCTCAGCTGAGCAGAGCGCGGTGCCAGAGCCGACCCAGCCCAAGGAAGCCCGTCGGGGCGCGCCGCACCCCGAACTCTGCGGCGGATGGGAGCTGAGGACTGGGTCTTTGCGGGCGAGATGAGGGTGTCCATTCAACTGGCCTACAAAGTCCCAGTCCTCGGCCCCCCGACCGGCGTCTCCTCCACGCTCCTCGACCCAGGCCCGCCTCTTCCCGGCCCGCGTATGCTCAGCGCCCACATGGAGTGGTCCCTCCCGCCAGGCCGCCACCTCTCTTGCCCATACTGGAGAAAAGGTGGCAAGTCGCGCTCGCTGAGGACTCGGTGTGTGGATTGGGGATCCCTGATAATGGCGGGAGAAATGGTAACTCGCTCCGAAGTGCGAGCTAGTCTTTTCGGTCTGCGCCGAACTGGGCAAGACCCGGGGTAGAACTGAGATGCGGTGAGAGCTCCTAGTTCCTCAACGGCCGGGCCCAGCCACCTATGGTGACTTGCCTTGTTGCACTTCCAGGGCGGCAACTTTAAGTTTGGGGGTGGAGAAGTCTGGGCTTCATTTTGAGACTTGCTTCTGGGGTGGTGGGATAGGATTGTGGAAGTTTAGACCCCCGACTCCTCCTGCTCACCATTTTATTTAAAACATGCTTTTTTGTGTGTGTGTGGATATGTCTGTGACTGTAGGTCTTCTGTTCCCTGACATATGCAACGTTACCCATGTTTTGTGCTGAAACTCCCTTCTTCCTTAAATTTGATTCATTCCTCTAATAAGCTTGCTTTTACTCACCTCCCAAAGAAAAGCTCCACCAACTATTGAAACCTCAAATTGCCTGGTGTTGGTTTTTTTTTTTTTTTTAATCCTTTTGTGTTGTGTTTTGACTGTCTTGGCAGTGGGGGCATTGGAATACTTCTGGGGACTTGCATTGAGGTGACTTGGACTGTGTGAAGGGCAAACTTAACAAAATAAGTGGCCGCCGCCTCTTTGGCTGTGGAACTCAGAAGAGATTTCTAGAAGCATGGAGGAAGGAGAGGGAGAAACCAGCCTGGCCAGGTTGACCCACCTCTTGGAAGTTGTGCAAAGACCTATAAAAGAGACATCTTCCCACAGGCTCTCTGACCTCTGTGCAACATGTAGAGTAGTCCTAGTAGGAATTTTGATGATGATGTGGTCCCCGATCTGGTTTTGGTGGTAGGTAGAACAGAGGGGAGCCAGGTGTGCAGGGCAATCAGGAGAATTGTGGGGTCACTGGGATGGGATTGAGTTTGGGAGCCCATTGAGGGGCATAGCCCTGCCCTGCAGTTAGCCAGAATTTTATCCATGCAAGAATTGTCCCACAGGCTGTAGTTGGTGGAACATGCAGATGCCAGGAAAGAGGTTGGCCATGAGGTAGATTTCCAAGCACTTTGATTTTTCAGTGTTGACACAAAATCATGTAGGGGTAGAACTGGTGGGAGTTTGAACCAGAGGGAGTTTGACCCAGAGACCTTGCCCCTAATTAAGAAAAATGATCTCTGTGGGGCACTAAATCAGGTTGAGAAAATGAAGTTCTCCCTTTGAACCAATGCCTCTCCCAGCCTTGGGGATCGGTATCAAAAAGTAAATGAAATGGAAATCTCCAGAATATTTTGTGGTCATAAAACGTCCACAGGAATGGGCTGGAGTAATGAGATGCAGAGAAGCATGCCCAGCTGGCTGCTTGGCACCCACCCTGGAGGGGACAGGCTTGTGAACTGTGGGGTGTAAATTGCTGGGAATAAGGTATAAGAAGCCTGGCAGCACCCCCTCCCCTCCCGCCTCGTGCCCTATAGTTCTCCTTCAAACTATGTGCCCCGTTCTCTCTGGTCAGGGCTTTAGAGATTTTTTTTTTTTTTTTTTTTTTTTAGGAAATGATGTTTAATTTCTTTGGGGGAAGTGAGTGATTAGGTTTTTCCTTCTTGGCTTTTTTTTTTTTTTCTTTGCAAAATGTGATTTGAATCAGCCAGGCAGTGGGCTGGGCTAGCCTGGTCTCCAGCAGCTGATTCCTGCTTTGATTTAAGCCATTGTATTTAGGAGTTGTGTTTTAGTTGAGAGCTTTGTGATTTTTTTTTTTTTTTTTTTTTGCTGTCCTTTTGGAGTTCTCAGTGTCCTGCACCAGATGCCTCCTTCCAGTTCCCAGCCCCACCTCCAAGTCATGAAGGTACCTCAAGGTTTTGAGGGGAAGTGGCTTGAATGTCGGACTTGTTTGCCCTGGAGACTTCTTCAGGAAGCCTCTAAATGCAAGGGTGAAAGCCGGTGGGAGGGGAAGGATTTTAGCCAGACCTCCAGGGAGACCCACTCTGACTCTAGGTCCTGCCTACTGGGAGGAAACTTGCATTCCCTCAACTCTTAAGTAAATTGCAGCCTGGTGAATAATTAACCTCGCCCTTCTAGCCTTTTCTTTTCTTCTTTTTTTTTTTTTTTAATAAAATCCCAACCTATTGAAGATTTAGAGAACAATTTTTTTTTTCTGCCCACCCGGATTGGAATGACAAAGAATGTATTGGGAGAAAGCTGGTCTTCTTGTCTCTACCCTCAAGTCCTAGCAACTTTGGAAGTTCTGATACTTAGGAATGCCTCCAGGGTTTCCTTGGTGGCCATTCCTGCCAGACCTCTGAGCCGCTTCCTTAGGTCTCTAGTAGTTTATCGCCCAAAGCTGAGCTCTCAGAATCCTTACCACCCCGGAGGGCTCAATCCCCTACTTTGTCTAGAGACAGCTTGGCCCTCACTGCTTCATGGAGTTGATTCCCTTGCCAGGCTGGTTTGTGGCTCTCTGCATGGGCTGGTAAATATTTGGCCAGTCTGAGTTCTTCACAAAAGCGCAGCGCTCCTAATCTGTGATAAGTCCCTGACAGAGAGTTGTTTCAGGAGGGAGGGATCATTTTGGTTTCCAAGAAGTTTTTTTTTTTTCCTTTTTTTCCTTTCCTGGAAGCGGCCTAGTGAGAGCCACAAAGGTGCACCATGGGTCCAGATGTGCTGGGATTCCAGTTCTAACTCCACTGCCAGCTGGATGGCCTTTGCCAAGTGACTTGTCTGTGTCCCAATTTCTCCTTGTGAAACGAGGGTTATGGTAGCTACCTCGTAAGGCCAGTGTAAATGTCTAGGCCGTGTCTGACTCAGTTTAGTGGATCTTCCACGGGTAGGGGTAATCCTCATCCCCTGGGCTTCTGTCTTTGAATCTGCATGTGTATGCGTGTTGGTTGAGAAGGGTGCAGAGTGATCAGACCTCAGGCCTGTGGGTCTGGCAGGTTCTCAGGCCAACTGTGTAGCTTGCTAGCTTACGGCCTTGGGCAAGTTACTTAACTCTTGTGCAGCAGCTTTGCGATCAGAAGGCAAGAATAATACCCAGTCACCCTTCTCCTGTTGAGTCTCCTGTTGAATTTAGTCCATTCAGTTTTTATTGTCTACCACCTTTGTGCCAGGGACGGGGCCAAGCAGAGGCTGGGGTGATGCCTGAGAGCAAGATGAGCATTTTCCTTACTGTCCGTTCTGGCTTTTACCCCAGCCCTGAAAGTAGATGCAGATTATTGGGAGTCCTCATTTTAGAGCGAGGCTGAGACCCAGAGGAGAGTCAGGATCTCACAGCTGGTCTTCAGGGCAGCAGGAGCTGGACCCCCCCAGCCTTCTGAGTGAAGCTTCTCGGGTTGGAAGCCAGCAAGCCTGAGAACAAGAGGTGGACAGGTCTGGATTAGCCAGTGCAGTCCTTAAAGGAACCCTGGTTTGCAGATGTGGGTTTCTTGCACATCTGTTCTACAGTACAGCCAGACTGGAAAGCCCAAAGATTCCTCCACTTCTGACACTGAGCATATTTCATGAAAGGTCCCAGGAAAGGCATTTGAATTACCACAGCTGCTCCAGGCTTGCTCAGTCACTGGCCCAGTGGCAAACTTGGCATACCCTATCAGGGACAACACAGAGGCCAAAAAAAAAAAAAAAAAATTTTGACGTTCAAAAAAATAAAATGCTGAGAGTAGTCATCAAGTGGGGGAAAAAATCAGAATTTTGTGGGACATATACTCTTTTATGGTGCAGTGATGTTTTTATTTAGAATTTAAAATAGGAGGTGTAATCAACCATCTTTTCAGTGACTGAGGCTTTGGTAACCTAACTGGCCCTGGGCAGAGGGCAGGGCTTACAGAAGCGACAGAGCAGGTGACTTCTCACCCACTGTAGTGTTCCTTCCCTCCCTCTGGCACAGCCTGGGAAATTTTGAAATCTCCTGCAGTCAGATCCCTGTGTTTGCTTCCCAGGAGAAATGGGGAGAGGAAGGTGCCGTGTAGAAAGAACCTCGCCTGATTTCAGTCTCAGCTGGGCCTAAAAGCACCCTTCTCTGTCAAATGGGCAATTGCACCGAACAAACTGTAGCCTTAACATTCCTCTGAGAGTCTGAACTAGGAGGTGCAGATGCAGGGAAGGGCACGGGGTGGAACCTGGGCCTGTGGTTTGGAGCAGTGGGAGGGGTGTGGGAAGGAGTCAGAGATGTGCAGCTGTGAAATTTGGATCAGTCTATGAAGACCACTTTGTGGTTCATTCTCATGAAGCTTGCTTCCTCTCACTGGATTTCTGCCCTGGGGGAATGTGGGGTTCAAGGGCAAACACTGGCTTCTCCTCCTTGGTGGCAGAAGCTTAAATTCTAGTCTCCCAAGCAAATGCATAAGAAATAATCCTCTTTTTCTATGGTAGAGCTCCTCTTCCACCCTCCTTAAAAGAATTAAGTTGCTTCATACTTACTTGCCCGATAGCTTTTGGCTTTCCTGGAGACTGTCAGAGACACCCCCCCTCAAAAAAAAAAAAAATGCTTTTCTACGTAAAACCGGATTTGGGGAAAGGGCATTGATGGGAGTCAGAAACCTGGCAGTCTGGGGATTAGCTGGGTGAGGTCTGTGGTGCCTCCTGAGGCTCAGTTTCCCTGTCTGCTAATGCAAGCAGGGCTTTACGAGGATTGAATGAGAATACCTGTGAAATGTCAGGCACATGGTAGGGGCTGCAACGCACTAGCTGTCCCAAGTGACACCAGAGTTCATCCCCAGGCCTGGAGGGCTGATGGACACACCCCAGTGAGGTCAAGGCAGGATGACCCACAGCTGGCAAGTCGGCTGGCTGGCTCTCTCGGGATAAAATGCTGGAAGAAAGGCAAGTCCTGGCCAGGGTGGAGTTGGTTCCTGCTTCTTCAGGGAGACTCGCCTGGCTCAGCTTGGGAGGGGCAGGTGGGGCCTGAAGCTACCCACTTTTTGCGGGGATGGCTTCATGTGATCACTGTGCCAGAGCCTGTCCAAGGGGACGGGTCAATGGGAGGAGCAGGACGATGTTCTCCTGAATTCTTTCCTGCTGAGCTTGCTGCTATGGACTGGAGAACAGCGGGGGCAGGGCCACACTTACAGAAAGTCTTTGCTCTTGGAAGTTGGAGGGTGATTAAACAGGTACTAAGGCCTTGAGTATAAGCAAAGTGTTCGTCTCCACCTGCCTGGCCAGACCCTGCATAACAGGGAAAAAGTGAAGCTGACCTCTTGCTCCCAGCTGGTTGGGGTAGAGGGTGAATCCTTCCCAAGCCTGAGCCACAAACTCTCTCTCATATTGTCCCATGTCTGGTGACAGTAAGCATTCATCTTTGCTCAGGCCTGGGCATTAAACTAACCTTGGTCAAATCACTGAATGCTAAAACATCTGACAAAAGGTCGAGTTTTGACAATGAGCCTTTTCTATAGAGATAGGCTTAGAGAGGGGAGTAGAGCCAGGGTACTAGAAAAACCACCTTAACTTTGACCCTGGAAAGGGGCAGGGTCCAGGATCCTGCCTTTGGATGTAAGGAGTAGAGATGGAGCAGGGGCCAACTCTGAAAACAGAAGTAGCCCACGGAGCCCGAGTGGGGGAGGGGCCTGCTGCCAACCTATCTTGGCATTTTCCCTTTCGTCCCTTTGGTGAGTTTTGTTGTAACTAGACAAGTTGTGACAAATATCCCATTGCTCTTTGGGCCGGAGAATTGTCAGGAGTTCTGCCTGGAAACCCAGCCTCATTCACTGGGGAGCCATAATTAGGCAAGAGAACAGTTCACGGGCCCTTGATTCAATAAAGACCCTTTTATGATGTTGGTTTTTCCCAGAAAAATAATACCACTTTGCTCCGTTTATTGCATTTAGATGTGTAATCATATTAGAGCCCAGCAGCCCGGGGGACTGAAGTTACGTACTTGAGGTTTTCAACCAAAGCCTCTTACCCCAGTCTCCAGAGAAAAACAGTGTCCTCAAAAAAAAAAAAGAGACATTTTTGAGGATTTTCTTTCTTGGCATTTAAGGGACGTTTTCTCCCTTCAGGGTGAGAAGTGACCCAGGAAAAACCCCAGAAAGTGAAACGTGACTGGCTCGTGGCACTCTGTGCAGTCCTGTGTTGCCCATCCAGGCATTGCGTGGTCCCTCCCCATCAGGGTTTGTCATCTGTCAGAGGGGGTAGCTATGTGTCCTGCAGAGAAGATGCCTGTGCCCCTTCCATGAGGATTCTTAGTACCCTAGCAGTTTGCCGCACTTGGGTTTGCAGGTGGCTGTCCTTTGCCTCCTCCCGGTGAGGGGCAGTCAGCCTTGACTAAACATAGCCTTGGAGCTCACTGGCAGCATTGTTTGGGAGGATGTGCCAGGCTCTGGTGCTATTGGACACTTCTAGGTGTTTGCAGGGATGCCCTGCCTAGGATCCCCTCGGAACGTGGCCACCCCTTTTGCCCTCAGACCTGTTGTGAGGCAGGCTAAAAGCATTTCTCCATCAGAGTCAAAGCTCTCCCCAAAATCTGCCCCGGTGAGGGAGAGATCACCAGTGGAATCAAGATCATCTTTCCCAATTCAGGGGTTTAGAAATCTTAGGCGATGAAGAAATTTCTGGTAGTCATTTGTAGGAGGACTCGATTAAGAAACACAGGCTACGGCATGTCCGAATGCTAAAACCATGTTGCCTTTAAAGTGTGGGGGGATACACTTAACTTGCACTGGATGTTCTGGAGTATCTTTTCAAACATCCTTTAATGCATCGGAATTGCATTTTATAGGGGATGGTTCATCTGTGCATAGAGTGTGACAAGAATATTTTAATACATTATCTCGAGTTTTTTCAACCCTATACTTCAGGCTTTCTGGCTGACATGCTAGTGTGTGTGTGCATATATGCATATTTTTACTCCCCCCATAGGAGTATAATTAGAACATCTGAAACCAGATTATCCAATTAGTACATTTTTTCTAATTAGCTGTTAGGAATTTATGATGAGATAAATTATTTTAGATTTCCAAATGGAACTTTGGCCATAGGGAGGCTCTGAGGAAGTACACAAGGGAGAAAAATAATGGGTTTTTCAAGTTTTGCTTCCCACCTGCTCCCTGAAAAACCTAATCCACTCATCCATAAGCCAGCAACAGTGACCAGAAAAGTTTATTGTACTTGAGTAAACAGTTGGAAAAACCCACTTAGCATCAGGTCTTCTCTGGATAATGAAGCCTGCAGGCAGAAACTGGCATTAAATAGTACTTTCTCCATTTTTCAGCAGGAATGACAGTAGTAGTCACAGGAAAAACAATCCTGGTGGTGTGAATTCATTCAGGGTGTATTTACTTTGTGCTGTGTGCGCGCTTTATGGGTGGTAGCTAACTCTCAGGGCTTTGTGGCCAGGTTTGTCGAAGGAAGTTGAGACTGGCCACTTGTATTTTGTCTCAAATTCTGAACTCCAAAAAAACTTAAGAAGCACAGTTTGGTTCTTTAACTCTTAGAACCTGACCCAAGACTATTGTGGTCTATATTTATCCTGGGGAGCATGAGTTTCACTGTAGAGATATTAATGTATTTGATTATGGGTGTCGCATAATGTATGGCACAGGTACCTCAGTCCCTAAAACCTGGAAAATCCTGATACACATCTGGCCTGAAGGTCTAAAGAACTAGGAGCTAGAATAGCTCTCCATGGCCTATTTTCCCGTCGGCCACAGGAGGTGGCTGTGAGTTGGAGGGTCCAGGCAGGAGGTGGTCGAGTTGCCCCGACAGCTTCGCTTCTACTACTGCAGGTAGCTTAGCAGCCCCCACATCCCTTCGAGCCCCTTCCTCACTAGGCTTCGAAAGCTAGCTGGTTTTGCTCACTGTTGTGTCCCATGTTCAGCTTGGGGCATGCTAGCAGATATTGATCAGAAACGGGCAGCATGTTATTTCTATAAAGGTCCAAATAGTAAATATCTTAGGTCTTGAGGGTGTGGCATCTCTTGCAAACTCGGTTCCTTAAAACTTTTCAGTTTTACAAAAATGTGTGAAAATACACATTTAATAGAAACCGTACTTAGAATTTGGATCTCTTCCTGGGCTAGCAGTATGCAGTTGGATGATGCTGTCACAGGGCTGGCGAAGCCACTGCAGAAAGGGAAACAACCCAGACAAGTTCTGTGCTCTGCACCACTGAGCTAGGACCTCGCTAGGCAACACTATTTTCAACTTACAATGGGGCTTATCAGGCTCTAACCCCACTGTGAGCCAAGGAAGTACTTTCAGGCTGTTAATGTAGCCTGAAAACTGCCACAGGAAATGTGGCAGTAAGTGGGTGCACCTATGTTCTAATAAAACTTTATGAAAACAGATGGCAGGCTGGGTTTGCTCGCTGGCCATAGTTTGCCAACTCCCAGGACAAGGGATAAAAACCTTAGACGCTCTTCTTTGCCATAGCGTAGCCCTGCTATCTGCCTGGACACTGATCTTGTTTCCTCCCCCAGTGCCGTTGCCTCTAAAAAGATAAAAGTGGAGCTCTCATACCAGCATCCACCCCTTGCCTTGGCTCCTCCAAATGGTCTGGAAACATGGATAAAAGGAAGACACTGCCCTGCCTGGACTGGCCTCAAGAGTAGGAGTGTGTATTTGTGTGGACAAATGCATTTGGGCCCAGGGCCAGCCCTGGTGAGGGGCACTTGGGCCTCCACCCACTGATGAGTTTGGGAACCGAGCCAAACCCCCAGCAATGGGCCAGGCTGCTGGCTGGGCAGCGCAGCTCAGGAGCGGATGTGGGGCACTGGGGAAGCCAAGGGGCTGGGTGCAAGCAAGCTCACCAGCAGAATTTCTGGCAGAGACTGGGTATCATAAACTCAGTGGCTCCAACGAGGGCTTGTTCCTCCCCTGCCCAGAGCATCCAGCAAGGGTGGGGTCTGGCTAGTGAGGCTGAAATCCAGTCCCCGGACCTCCACAGCCGGCTGCCCTGGAGCTGACTGATGAGGGAGGGACCCTGCAGATGTTTGGCCCCTGACTCTTAAGCAGACCTTTCCAGGATCCAGGGCTGGAACCTCTCAGCCAGCCCCTGCCTCAGCAGCTTTTCTGTGGGAAGGGTTTTCCTCCAAGACATTTTGGGACTGCTGCCCTCCGTCAGGACCACCACCTTGGCCAGCCAGGGTGGGGCCGCCGCATAGTTCTTTCTAAAGCAAATTCCAAACAAGTTGGCTTCCCCCCATTCCCTCTTCTATCATGGTTTTGTGGGTTACTATTTTAGGGACAGTGTTCATATGCAGCCTCTTCACCCTGCAGCCCTGATGGCTTGTCAGCCCCAGAAGAAGGGGGTGCACCTCAGGCAGCAGTGTGTGCCCAGCAAAAGCCCCTCACGGAGTGAGGACTGGCAAAGCCGGTGGAAGTGGACTGGGGGGATGGGGAACTCTGCTGGCAAAACCGGGGTGGGGGGGCAGGGCCACCTTCACATACTTAACACAATGTACTGCTGCTAGGGACTATCCTCCTGACCCTGCCTGAACTGCTGTAGGGGGATGGCCCAGAGCAGTTCTTGAACATGGGTTCACCTGAGACTCACAAAAGGAGCCGTTAACAATGCAGATTCTGTGGTCCTAGGGGAGGCCTGCATCAGCATTGTCAATCCCCATGCTGGGGGGGGGGGTAAAGCAGAGAGTGGGGGAGAGGGGCTGGGGTCAAGTAGGGTCAGCCAGAAAAGGTGAGCTAGAGCCAGGCACAGTTTGAAGCCCTTTACACAAATGAACTCAGTCCTCCCCAAAAGCTCCATCTCACAAATTGCAGACTGAAGCACAGCTGGGTGAGGGAGCTTGCCCAGGCTTGCATGGGCAGCAGGTGGTGAGTTGGGCCTCGGCCCTTCCTCATACAGCACTGTAGAGGACAAGGGCAGGCTAGCAGGGGGACTGCCCAGGGAGGCTGCAGGGATGGGGTGTCTCGGGCAAGTAAAGCAGGATGGGGTCATATCCAAGGGGCTCAGGTGACTCGGGTCTGCTGGTGGAGTATATGGCTGTGATCTTGGTGCAGAAAGCTCTAGGCACAGTGACAGGGAGGTACACCCCAATCCTCCTCTCAGAGGGAAGAGTTCCCCGTGATGCGGCCCCCACCCGTGGCAGTGAGGGGAGTCTGGCAAATACTTGGTAGACTTCCTTTCATGTTCCTGTCTCCCCATGAATTTGGGCCTATAGTTCTTAGAGATGAGGAGTCTGGGGAGCAAAACAGTGCACACGTGGTCACACAGTAAGCAAGTAGTGACCCAGGCTCTGTCTTCTGTGGGGATGTGCTTTTCACCACAGCAGGACCTGTGCCCCCACCTCCTCCATCAGAGTGGGCTCCTGGTGGTCACTGGGACAGAAGAGATGATCCTAAACAGGCCTAGGATTCAGGGACTCCTTCCACCCCCTTGAGGAAGAACCACCAGCACTCATCGGCCTGTCCCTTTCTCGGTGGCTGCTTTCTGACCATCTTCCTCCCCCATTTCTTCAAGGCCGTGCTTCCCGGCAGCTCTTGTCAGCCTGGGGGTTTGAACCTGAAGCCTACCTGGGGCATTCCAGAAGTCTTCAGGGGTGTCTGTCGTACATCTTGGTAGAAGGCGAGGGGCTGGACCTGCCTTCCCACGCTGGCCCACATGCAGCCCTTGCTTTTCAGGGAAAAGTGGGGCCAACACGGTTGAGCAGCGGGAGGGCTGGACTGGGATCCAGGTTCAAGCAGCAGCTTCCAGGGCTACACCGTGTCTGGAAGGTTGCAGCCTCTTGGTCCACCAGGGGTGGAGGACCCAAGACTAGGCCTTTCAGGACTAGTCCCTTTATGCTAGGCGCAGCAAGAGAGGGTGGTGGGACCCCCTTTTATAGAGCGACGCCAGGCTGCCCCGGCTGCAGGGAAGCTGGAGGCGTTCGGGTGCTTATTCCTCTGGGAACTACATACCTGGATATTCTTCAAAAGGAACAAAGGAGCATGGAGGCAGCTCCTGACCTAGGCTGGGTCCCTTTGTCCTTATAACCTGCACCAGGCCTTGCTTCTGAAGGGGCCCTGGTCAGGGGAGGGAAGAAGATCCTGCTTTCCTTCTTGCGTCATATCAGGCCTGAGAGCCTCACTTGGCCTCTTGAGGCTGTTTCTCCAGGCTGGGTGCGTGCCACACACTCTAGTCACTGGACCCCTGTGGACAGAAGGCAACCAAGTTCTGAGTTGGCTCTGGATGAAATGGAGGCTCATCACTCCTGGGTGTGCTATGGGAGGCCACCGAGGGTGTCTGACGGGCAGTGGGGGCGCTGTGGAGACCCTGCAGCCCCACCACCCACCATAGAGCTTCCCCAGGGCTATGGGCACACTCGCCTACCTGGGCCAACCAGTTGACTGCCTGCTTGGAGAACATTCAAGGACAGCAAGAAAAATGAGGGACTTTCAGGGGCAGCTGTGTTTTCTGACTCAGTCATAATGCCCCTAAAAATCCTTATTGTTCTTGCAGTGTGCATCAGGCAGAAGCCACAAGCACCTCTTGTCTGTCTGGGATGGAAGGGGTTTCCTGGAGTCATATTGGAATGTTACCCCCCCCCACGAGAGTCAATGGGGACTTGATCACTGAAACAACTTGGCATATTGGTTTGCATACATTTCTTCCGGCAGAGGGTAGTGAGGAAGCTGAACATTGGATACTATTGCTGGTTGGAGCCCAAGAGCACATAGGTGTCCCCGAGTCGCATGCAGTTCACAAGAGTCCAACTGCGCATTCAGTGCCTGAGGAAGGCTATGCTCAGAGACAGCTGCATTAAAGCAGCCTTGGGGGGCAGGAAGGGATGTTCTCGTCTCCTGAAGTTGGGACAGGAGGGGGAATGACACTTGGGCAGAAACTTGCCTTTTAGGATAGAAGAAGCCTCAGTAAGACCTAACCGTTTTAAAAAACGTGGTTGTAGGAAGGGTGGCTGGTGCCAGTGGGGCTGTAATCCCAGCAATGCAGGAGGCTTGCAAGTTCAAGGACCCCGTCTCAAAAAGGGCTGGGGATGTAGCTCAGTGGTAAAATGCCCTGTGGTGTGGGGGTGTGATTTGACACTCCTCGACTGAGAGCCCGGAGCTTGCTTTCTCCCAGCTGGATGCTCCCTGGTGCTCTACCATTCTCGCAGGTTCCAGCCCTACCCCACAGATATTTTGACTGAGCCAAGATCTTATCTCGGGGTTTCTGGAGGAGACTGTCAAGCAATAGAAATCTTTTTAAAACAGAAACCACTTGGTGACATGCCCCTCTTAACCCGTGGTATCAGTCCACACCCCAAGGCAACTGAATCCAGCTTTCCAGGTGAGGCAGGGCTGGTGGCTTGGCCACAGATGGGGAGGGTTGCAGAGCGACGAGCAGCACGTGGCCTGCTCCAGCAGGTCCACCCTTGTCTTGAGGACCTCAAGGGTCAGCAGGGGAAATTCGTCCTTCGTATTTCTAAGGAGTCACTTGAAAGCTCTCATCATCAGAAAAGATGGCCTTCGGTGCTGGGCGGAATTTGACCACCCTGACCTTGTCTCCTGCCACCGATGACTAAGGGGCTGGAGCCTCAGCCACCTCCTACTCAGAAATGAATGCTCCAAGGTAAAGTTTAAACACAGATGGTAGTTATGCCTTCTGGTAAAAGATGGGGCTGGGGGGCGGGGAAATCATGAAATGAGAAGCTCATTCTTCCTATGGACAAGGGTGATCCAGCTCTTAGAGGTTTTTGTCCATTTGCTAACTTTAATTCTCTCCTCCCATGAAGCCTCTGTGCCCTCCTATCCTTCCATCACCCCAAAACATTTGTAAAAGATCATACACACTATTTCCCTAGGTCATAAGAATTGCCTTCAAATGCTGTAGAGCATTTGAGAAATCAAATTGCTTTCAATTGCTAGGGAACATTCATCAAAAGGAATGGAAGGTTCCGCTGACGAACTATGGCCTTTCTTCCCCTCTGCCTGCACCTCCCTCTTTGCTAGCAGGATGGGGACTTTTATAAGGGCAGGCCCCTGTGGGCCATTATCCTGAGCCCTCAGGAGTGTTATTTTTATTTATTTTTTTTAAACCAAGTGGAGTGTGCTGTGGCTGCCACCAGGAAGGTCCAGGATTTTTTTTTTTGAGAGAGTTCAAGAAGCATTGGGGTCTCTCCAGGCCTGGACTGATGGAATTATTATTGAGGATGAGAGAGAAATGTCCTGACTCCGGTTGCCTGCAGTGCTTCCTGATTTTTTTTTTTTTTTAAAAGCCAATGGCTGGGCCCCAACTAAGATCCGCTGGATTGAACTGCAGGGGGTTGAGAAGCCCAGGGATTGGTATCTTGGATTGTGTTTTTCCTTTCACTTATTCCTCAGGTGATTGTGATCTGGCTACATGCCCTCGAGTAAGATGAGAGATCCCCTCCAGCTTTGCCTGCAGAGCTGTCCGGAGGGATGTGACCATTTGCAGTTGGCTGGCTTTCCCTTTATTTCCTCTGCTGCTTGGTCATCTTTTGATCCTCCTCTTCAGACAGATAGCAGGCTAATGACATTAGAGGAATAGAGCAAAGATGTGGCAATGTTGGGGTTTAGATCTGCAGTTCTGACCTGCAAGATCAGGGCTGTTGCAGTAGTAGGCGTTGGTCTCCATAATTAGCACATACAAGAAGCCTATTATAATGCTTGATACTAAACAGTCATCACAGCGTCCCTAGATGTGACCTTCCCTTAGTTTCCCCATGACTGCCTGTTGCACTGCCAGCCTGGGCAGGGTTCAGCCCCATTTTACAGATGAGGAAGGGGCCTTACACTCAAGATTGCCCTAGTCACTTGGTGGCAAGATCAGCTGGCCACTTACCTGTTCAGAGGTTCCTAGGTCTTGAGGAGATAATCTGACTCCAGAAGCCCAACGTGAGGGCTAACTGGGCAGGCTGCCAGCACAGGGAGTAGGGGATGGCAATTTGTCAGCTCCTGGAAGTGGTCAGCCATTCCCATGGTCTGCAAAACAAAGTGAACCCACTTAGGCCATGGTGAGGATAAGAACACCATTTTAAGAGTCTTTAAGGACTCGGGCTTCATTTGCAAAGGAGGTCCCCGAGTACTGGACCACTCCCTCCTCTCCACCATCCCTTTGCAGCCCGGTGCACACCTTGGCAATGGCATCTGTAAAGGTGGACTCGGCCGGTGTCCCTATGGGAAATGGGGCAGGAGGTGTGGCCGAGTGGTAGAGTGCGTGCCTGGCACATGCGAGGCACTGGATTCTATCCTCGGCACCACGTAAAAAATAAGTTGTGTCCCTCTACCAAAACAACAAATCCCAGTTTAAGTAGCATCCTGTTTGCTGGACATGGCTGAGATGAGCACAGAAGTGTGGGGGGCTGGGGGGAGATAAGTCTTTGTTCTAGAGTCTGATCAGAGCAGTCACTTGGCCGAGGAGTGACTTGGAAAGGCCCAAGCATGTGTGTGTATACAGATATGAAGTTGCTGCCTTTCCCTTCCAGGAACACACTTGAGTGGAAGATGCTCGGCGACTGGTAGTGGTGCAGCACCTCTTGGGAGGTAAAGTCCGGGCCTCCACGTGGCGGATGGTGCCTTCTGTCCTTGGTCCTACAAGGATGACCTTTCTGGACCGTCTTCTTGGGCCTCCTGCCATGGCTGAACTCCTGGGACAGTGGTTCTGGATTGGCAAGCTACGGTTCTTGCCTCCGCCTCCCTCCTGCACCAGCAGCCTCAGTGTGTAGATGGCCCAGTGTCTGTGGGCTGGAAGGACACCAACCTAGGGAGCTGGCATGAGGAGTCCATCCCTGGTGGCCTGGCCATTGCAGGTTTGTCAGGACATAGGAACGGCATGACACCACCACTCCTGGTGCTTTGGAGGAGTTGATAGCCGTCCATGGACTCTTCCTCTGGGGATCACCTTTCCCCTACCATAAATTCCCGGGTTTGGGTGTAGCTACCCTTCCTGCCTGACTTTAGAGGCATCCATCTGATCCAGGCTTGGAACAGGCTTCGCTGCAGGACTATCTTATGTGATGCTGAGGATCGAACCCAGCGCCCCACGCATGCCAGGCTAGCACGCTACAGCTTGAGCCACATCCCCAGCCCCTCTGCAGGACTTCCGAAGGACCGCTGGGGGAAAAAAGCTATTCTGTTCCTGTGGCAGTTGATAAGGCCATAGGATGGAGCCTGAAACCGCTGGTGACCAGCCCCTTATCCCCTCGACAACGAAGCCACCAGAGAGGAGAGAGCGCTAACATGGAGAGAATATTGGTGCAAACTGGCGTGCCCAAAGCCACTGGCTTCCCTGCACTATGAGGATTGAGACAATGGGTATCTTTTTTGCTAAAACTAGCCTGCGTACGGCTTCTGTCACAGAAGTGTGCCCAATGCAGGCAGGTTTTTTTTGAAACAGGTATATTTCACCATGAAATTCATCCGCTGCCACCAGAGAGCCACCGTTTCTTCCCCCAAAATGTCCCATCTCTCCAACCACTGCGCTTCCCTTTGCAAAACTTCATGTAATCCTAGTGCATACTCTTCCCGTCTTCTGACTCGGCCTGTCTTCCACGTTGATGGTTGCTGGGTCACCTGACATTGTGTAGATGTAAGTGGTTCTTTATCCATTTAGATGATGGATAGTTGAGCCGTTTCCAAATTTGGGCTACTGTGAATAAAGCTGTTTTAAACATTCGTGCCAACCTTTGGGTGTGCGCTTCAAGCCTTACACACTAGACGTCAGGCTCATTTTCCAGCTGAGATGGGTTTCAAGGTGGAATGACTTGTCCAGGGTCAATGGCTGATGATCCGGGGACTGACAGTGATGTAGCTGGAGTGGGGTACAGCGTTGGGGTGCTTGGGGAGGGAGCTGCTGGGCTCCCGGCCAAATGAGCCACAGCCTTGGTCCTGGCTTTTCACCTTCCTGGGCCAATGTAGTTTAGTCTCCCCCTGTGGATTCCAGGGCTTGAAAGATACAATCCAAGTAGACTGCATACACGAAGCCAAATGGATTCCTTAAGACATCTAGAACCGCCCGTCTGTTCCTCACTGAGCAGCGAGGCACAAGAAGGACCTGGAGGTGAAATCATTCTAGCCCCAAACAAAGAGACCTTTTGTTGGTCTTGAGGCCAAGCACCAGCACGTCAGGGCTCCTCCCAAAGGATGTCAGGCTGGTCACCCCAGTTTATTCCCTTTCCAAGATGCTTCAGCCTCAGCTCCTGGGCTCTGTCTGGGTCAACCAGAGACAACAGGTTTTTCCTCTGGTGCACATGCTGTGACTCACCAGGTCATCTCCGCGGGACCCTGAACACCTATGCGTCCAGCTGTTCTGAACCTAGAGGCACCTGTGTCTCTGCAAAGTTTTGTAAGCTGGTGTGTTCTTTTCCCCATTCAAGCCAGCTCACAGCTGAAAAGAGTAGTAATACCCAGCTGCGCTGACATCGGCCTTCAGTACCCTGCCCCATGTCACTTTCCCTGCTAGGGCCCAAATACTAAACTGAGTACACCCATTACCTTGGACCCTCTCAGTAACCTTAGAAGGAGGTACCATTAACTATGAAGGAGACTGGCAGGGAGATGTCCAGTCACTGAGCCCAGGGGGTGTGACATATTTGCATACCACCTCAGAGCTGCTCAGCTCCCCCACCCCACCGTGGATCCACCAAGATCAGCTGCTTGCTCTGAAGCCAACTTGCTATTCCAGAGTCTGACCCCCACTAGACGTCAGCCCAGGGTATGGGACCAGCGCCTGGATGGCTGCCAGAGGGGCTGAGACTACAAGCCAGACGCTTGGTGGCATTGGTTTTATGGGGTAAACCTTAAGAGGAGGGGAGGATAAGTCCCTCCCTGTGCTCCCTGGGCATGGTCCTACGCCATTTCTTAAAAATTTAATTAGATATCTAATAGCAGAATGCATTTTGGTTCATTGTACACATCTGCAGCACAACTTTATGGTTGTATGCGATATAGCATCGCACCACATGTGCAGTCATACCTAGGGTAAAGAGGTCCATCTCATTCCACCATCTTTCCTGCCCCCATGTACCCTCCCTACCCTTTGCTCAATCAGAGTTCCTCCATTTTTCAGATGCCTTCCCCCTCCCCGTTATGGATCAGCATCCACTTACCAGCCTTTGTTTTTTTGGACTTGGCTAACTTCACTTAGCATAATATTCTCCAACTCCATTTACCTGCAAATACCATAATTTTATTCTTTGAATGCCGAGTAATATTCCATTGTGTTATATGAACCAGTTTCGTTATCCCTTCATCTATTTTTTAAGAGAATTTTTTAATATTTTTTTTTTTTTTAGTTTTTGGCGGACACAACATCTATTTGGATTAAGTGCGGAGGATTGAACCCAGCACCGCGCACATGCCAGGCGAGCACGTTACTGCTTGAGCCACATCCCCAGCCCATCCCTTCATCTATTGAAGGGCATCTAGGTTGCTTCCACAGTTCAGCTATTGTGAATTGAGCTACCATTAACATTGATGTGGCTATGTTACCATAGCGTGCTGATTTTAAGTCCTTTGGTATAGACCGAGGAGTGAAATAGCTGGGTCAAATGGTGGGTCAATTCCAAGTTTTCCAAGGAATCTCCATACTACATTCCAGATTGGTTGCACCAATATGCAGTCCCACCATCAGTGTATGAGTGTGCTTTTCCCCCACATCCTCACCACCATTTATTGTTATTTGCATTCAAGAGTAGTTTTGATTTGCATTTCTCTAATTACTAGAGATGTTGAACTTTTTTAATATATTTGTTGACTGAGTGTATATTATCTTCTGAGAAGTGTCTCTTCAGCTCCTTAGCCAATTTATTGATTGGGTTGTTGGGGTTTTTTTTTTTTTGGTAAGTTTTTTTTTTTTTTTTTGAGTTTTTTATAAATACTGGAAATTAGTGCTCCGACATGTGTGTGGCAAAAATTTGCTCCCAAAATGTAGGCTCTCTGTTCACCTCATTGTTTCTTTTAGCAAGAAGAGTAAAGCAGGAGGCATCACAATACCAGACCTTAAACTATACTACAAAGCTATAGTAAGATAAACAGCATGGTAATGGCACCAAAATAGACATGTAGACCAATGGTACAGAAGACAAGAGAAAAGCCCACAACTACAGTTATTTCATACTAGACAGAGGTGCCAAAAACCTAACTGGAGAAAAAATAGCCTCTTCAACAAATGGTGCTGGGAGAACTGGAAGCCCATATGCAGCAGATGAAAATAAACCCCTCTCTCAAATTGCACAAAACAACTCAAAGTGGATCAAGGACCCCGGATTAATCCAGAGTCCTTGCGCCTAATAGAGGAAAAAAGTAGGCCCACATCTTTATCATGTCAGATTAGGCCTTGACTTCCCTAACAAGACTCCTAAAATCAACAATCAATAAATGGGATGGACTCAAACGTGGTCCTATGCCATCTTGCGTCACTTCCCGTCCTTCCCCACCTCGATTTCCCCTCGCTCTTGCTGCCTGGTGCTCTTACCTGCACACTTGCCAAAGGGTCTGTTTTCTAGGGAGCCCGGCTGTCCGGCTCCAGGTCTGCACTGCTTGAGCAAATGTTCAGCCAGGACAGGTGCGTGGGAATCCAATGACGGAGGTGCAGGTTGTTGTGTGGAAAGGGAAGTGGGGAGGGGACAGGTGGGTGCCACTTTACCAGCAGTTACTCCTCTTGACCTCTTCCCTTCCCTTCCCTTCCCCAGGTCTCATCAGTCATGTCCTCTCTGACCTCCAGCTGCCCGTCAGAGGCTGTGGCCTCCCCACTAACTTCTCTTGTCTGGTACAAGGCAATCTCTACTTCCTGATGTTCTGCACTAAGCACACGACACTGGCAAGGTACTCAGCCTCTCCAAGTAGGTCTTCCTGTATAAGATATGGGGCGAGATCCCTCCAATCCCTAGGGCCCTCAGGAGGCTTGACTTAGATTCGAGACTGGCACATAGGCACAGGGGCAGCCTTGAGGCTACCTGTCTGGACTCACCTCTTCCATTTCTCCTCCACTCTCCGTCTCGGTCTCCACCGAGTAAATGGTGCTGTTCCCTCTTCAACCCATTCCCAGGCCTGCCACCAGAGCCAGGACACCACCACGTTCCATGATCTGACCGCAAGAATGGGCTCAGGCCTGGACATGGGACTTAAATCCAGCAGTGATTGCAACTGCTCCAAAGTTCTGCTGAACAGTAGGGAAGGAGGTGCTTATTCTGCTGAGGTCATTAGCTCCGAGTCAGAAGAAAGCAGAGCCAAGAGCTGGAGCAGGACACGGAGCCTAGATGATGTCTTTGCAGCTCCGGGATTCAACCATGCCAGAAGCTACTTAGCCTCCGGTATTTTTAGGAATGAAAACATCAGCCCAAAATTTCCTTTTTTTTTTTTCTTTTGGTACTGGGGATTGAACACAGGAGTGCTTAACCACTGAGCTACATCCCTATCCCATTTTTTAATATTTTACTTAGAGACAGGGTCTCGCCGAGTTGCTTAGTTGCTGAGGCTAGCTTTGAACTCATGATCCTCTTGTCTCAGCCCCTCAGGCTGCTGGGGTTACAGGAGAATGCCACCGAGCTCAGCCCCAGATTTCCTTCTTACTAGCTTCAACCAGTTCAAGTTGAGTTTGTTACTTAAACGTGAAATGGCCCCGATAATACAGCGGATTCTCTAGAAGGGATATTGCTGCTCTTGCAGCTCATGTCAGCATAAACACAGAGGAAGAGGCGGCCACGTCGATGCGTAGGCTGGTTCCTCCTGGGGCCTCTCTGCTCTCCACACATGAGGCCCCAGCCATCAGCTCCCTGAGGGCAGGGGATTTTCCTCAGATGGATGCTGATATATCCTAGGTATATGGTGTCTGGTACACAGCAGGTGATTAATAAATACCTTGATTGAACAACTGAAATAGGCACCATGGTCCATTGTTTCTCCCAGGGTGCCCTGCCTTCCATTCCCCACGTAGGGGGACACATTTTGCCCTGACTGCTCGTCTTTAACCTCCGAGTCCAACGGAGTGGCTGCTGGGAGACTGTCTTGGCAGACTGATTTCCCATCTTCACAATTGTTTTCCTAGAAAGTTTTCTTTCTAGAGCTTCTTTCATCCTTTTATTTGTTTCTAGTTCAATTTAAAAAAAAATCATTATCAATGTGTCCCTTGTGTGAGGTACCAGAGAGATGCAAACATGAATCTTGTTTTGCCTGCCTTCGGGGAGCTTCTATTCTGCTGTGGGTGTACAGTCACGAACTTGCCTCAATGGCATTGTTTTAGGCATGGGGGCCATGTTCTGGTATCCTCCTACCGACCAGGCAGTGAAAGAGCTCTAAGCTTCAGACCAAAACATACTCCTAGGTCATAATGAATGCAGCTCATCTGTGGCCACAGGAAAGTTGAACATGTAGGCGAGTGGCCCTGGAGCTCTGAATGGGAAGTACCCACCACATGCCCAGCTCTGGACTCAGCTCCCCCAATCAGTTTCATGCTAACTTGGAAGCATTGTCCCATCTCACGGGACGAGAAACAGTCTCAGAGAAATGAAGTTTCTCTGAGCCAACAGGGAGTGTGAGTGCATCATTGGGCTGTAGCAGGGAGCCCCCAGAGGACCCCAGAATTGGTAAGGCTTCTCAGCCGGTCATGAGGTCATGGTCTGTTGGCTCCTGCAAAGGCCATGTGAATGTCCTTGTGGCTCCTCCCACCCTCTCCT